CACCCCCCCGCTTTGCCCCTTTTTGCTGACCTTTCCCACGAAAAGTACATAAATCCCAGTTATGTTTTTGTGTGCCTTATAGTCCTAGGCGACATAGAAAAGTAATCAGAATCGTCCGAAGAAATCATGATATTTTTGAACCATTTGAAGGACGACAACTGTCTTCATATTGAAGACTTCTTTTTGTTTTCCGGAATCCAGTGGACGTGGACGAGTGAGTTGAGAGGAAAAGGAGTGGGATAGACTTCGCTCTGCTCTATCCCAGCGAACAAGTCAGCCAGGCGAATCGTCATGGCAACATAAGTCGCGTTGAGGTAGGCCCATTCCCATGCCCAATGTGTTGCCTACCGGAAAAGCGGGGTTCTGTCTGACTATGATGGACTATTCAATCTATGCGCGGAAAGCGGCTGACTCGCCCGATGTGAAAAACAGAACGCTTTACCGGTGAAGTATTTTCATTTTGTTTGCAATCGTGGTACAAGCAGAGACTAGACAGAAGTGTTGGGTTTCTAACATCCTTACCGCAGTCGATAATTGGCCGTGGAAGCGCTACAATTGGAAATACGCCGAACAGGTCGATGATGCAGAGAGTGGCAAACACAAGGCTCAGCCCTCCCCCCGGGCCACCCCCTTGGCCACCCAGGGGGGTCTGCCGGGAGCCCAGCAAGGGGTGCTTCTCCATGCTTTTCGAGGAGCCATTGCTGATAGCAGAACCGTTCCCCGAAACTCGAGTCCTGCAGAAAGAGAAGGCGTGTTGTTGAGGGTAAGGTTTGCGGACTCCTTAAACAGCTGCTCAGACGAATAGTTGCAGTTGCAAGGGTGCTAAGGAAATTTTAAGTGCAATAAAAGCCACGCGCCGTCCCCGAAAAATTAAAACGTTACGAACTTTTGATTTCCCAAGTAGGAAAGCGAACTTAGCTTCTTCTCTAGGGCGCCACTATTTCATGACTATACGCATAAAGTCAGCCAGATTTTACAAACCAGAGAAAAAATGAAAGAGTAGATTTTTACAAACCATAGCCGTAGATTCATCTACCTATACCCCGTGGGATTATAGTCTGGAATTTCCCTTCTAATTTTATCATCCGTATCGAGATTTGACTGTGTTTTAATGTATAACTGATCTATACCTTTCTTAAAAATGAATAGGTATGACCAACGGTCACAAAATATTTCATGTGTACACCATTTTCAGTTTCCAGGGCCTACCGCAGCAGATAAAAACTTGCTAGCTTGCCCAAGGGGTGTTGTTAGCGAAGAGGTGATATGGTGAAACAATGAAAGACTAGAACCCGTCCAGTAAATGTACAGCACGTACAGCAGGCCCAACTGCTGCCGCCGCCTTTCCGCTCTTGGCCTCGCACATGAGCATCGCCCCTTTCGGGTGGAAATGCGGGGAGGCTTGTGCGTAGGAAGTATACTCGGACACGGGTGCCCATTGCCCTCCCCTCCCGTTACTCTTGCTCTCCCACAACCTCTCCCACACCGCTGCCGCCTCCACCTCCCGCTGCTTCCCCCTTTCCCTGATCGTGATTGGTCGATGCGGTTCGCACGAACCTCGTATCGCTTTACACCCCCGCGCGCCCCATGCCCTTCACGGCGGGGGCGCTTGCGTAACTCCTTGGGGGCCGCCCTTAAATGCCGTGCCTCCTCTCAGACTCGGACGGTCGGTCTTCCTCACCCCCGCCCTATACTATTGCCCCAGCAAGAGCAATCAACCCTCTAAAGGCTAGAGCAGGACAAAAATCCCTACTCATGGCAGAACATCACACTCTGGCCCTTCCCTTGAAATAGTGGGAAAGTCCTTCACTTCGAGCGTATTCAGGACAACCATGTCCTACTCTTCTATGTTTAGCATTTTTTTAAAGACTAAATCGTAGTGCGGAGAAGAGAAAAGCGCATCACCTAGCACTGCCATCCCTGTCCTCACCTGATCGACACATGTTCCGGGGAGGAGTCTGAGGACATCATCGCGCCGCTTCCATGGCTACGCTGCAGGTCTGGTGGCGGCCGATCCGTCTGCACCTCGCGGTAGTGTGCCGGGGGCGGGTGGCGGGCACAGGAGGGTCGTGGTGAGGTCCGAAGCCCCGGCACGTTTGCACAACACTGTCACTCACCCGCGTTGGGCTGGGGCCGGCGGGGCAGTGCGTCCTGCGCTCCCCCGTCCGGCAGGCTGGCCCGCGCCGCCCCACCGCGCCGAGCTGGGGAGGGGAAGGCCCCTGGTGTGTACAAAAGGACCGAAGTTACCTTCCTCCTTGCCAAAACGAACGAAGGCGATTTCCTGGTCGACCTTGGCTACAGCAGCACATTTTTGATGTCGCTGGAACAGCGCCGCCCAAGGTTAGCGATATTAGCCTAGGCTAGGCGCACCGTGGCTCCACTGGCTCCACACTGGTTATCCTATTGTCTAGGTCGTTGTGCCGGAGCCGACCTCAGGAGGCTCGCTGGACAAACTT